ATAGACAGAGACCACTGTAGAAAACCACAACCAATCAAAATGAACAGTTGTGGAGCAGGTCACAACAGATATAGCTACAAAATACTCCCACATATAAGGCTCAGAAAGTGGGGAAGAGATTTTTCAGAGCCAGATGATCGGGGAGTTTGCATCACCTAGGAATGTTAGAAGCTACACAAATAAAGTCTCACCAACATGACTGCCTACAAGTCACTTTTTCAAATCATGTCCTGTGGCAATGAATTCTCAACAAAGAAAGGACACATCGTAAGCAAAATGGATTTACTTGCCTTGTCTTTTGGATGCACTTGAAGAGAGGGAGTCATTTCAGGAGCCGTGGAGATAATGAGAACTACAGGGAATGTCTGTGGCCTCAAGATTTGTCTCTGTGTTTTTCTTTGCTTTCTACAAATAAATGTAAGACACTATGAGGGTATCTCATTTACCTAAAATGGAGATTGAAAGAGAAAGAAATCAGAAAATTAAACTTTAGATTGTGAGATTCACTCTTACTGAGTCATAAATTCTTTCTGTGAAATATACATCAAGATCACTTGAAACTCTGAAAGATGTTATTGTTGACTTTACTATTAAGTAAGAAATGAATACAGAATACCTGTGCACAGGTATGACAGTCTTTCGAGTACAGCATGGAACTTACTGATACTTTGATTTATTACAGTTCTCATCAAGTTAGTATTTTTGGATGCTTTAATTTTCATATTTTATTAAAGCTAATTTTAAAAGCAATATATTTTGCTAATGTTAACATGTTAAAAATAATAACTTTTCTGTAGGTCTAAGATTATTTCAAAATACAACAAAATATAAAAGACTCTACCCACCTAAAAGAAAAAGAACAAAAATGGGATAGCAAAATGGTTAAGAGAAGAAAAGGGCTTGCTGCTAAGCTCAACAACATGAGTTCAGTCTCAAGGAGAGAACAGAGCCTATTCCTACAGGATGTTCTCCTACATTAATAAGCATGCTGCCTTGTGCACATATATACACACAATAAACTAATGTAGTAAAGTATATTTAAATAAAGAAATCAGAAAAATGATGGAGATACTTAAGGAGTTACAGCAGTGCCAGACTATTTGCTTAGAATATGTGAGCCTCTGTTAGTGTATGTTACTAAGTGAAAGAAAACATTTTGAAAATACTACATACTTTATGAGTCTAATTTTATGACATTAGAAAGGGTAAAATGTGGAGACACTAAAAGTCTCCAGGAGGTTTGGGAAGGAGGGAAAAATGGGTGCAGTTCAAAGGATTTTGAGGTCCGTGAGTTTGTTTTGTATGATAATAGAAACATTCTTATTCATCGGCTCAATGCTATGGAGCATTGTTCAACAAAAGCAGTGGTTACTAATGTAAACTCTGGACCTTACTAATATGTTGGTATCAACTCATCAGTTGTGAGAAATGCATTACAGTAATGCATGATGTTAATAATAAGAGAAGCTCTATGTAGAAGAATTGACTTGAAATTTCAGACTTTGGCTCAGTTTTTTCTTATCATCAAAATAACTCCAAAAATAAAACTTAGTAATTTTAGTCAGAAAAAGTTTCCCATAATGAATGGCCTCCTCAGATACACTGATTGCACATTTGCTCAATGATCTTCTCACCAGGGAGTTATTAGCAGATATTAACAGGAAACCATATGAGCATAGGAAATATAAGAGGCAGATATGAATTCTCAAAGAATTTATTCTGTTATGTAGAATTTTTTACTTTCTTTTTATTTATTCTATGTCTTTTACATCATGTATCTTGATCCCATTCATTTTTCTGTCCTTTTACATCTACCCTCTGCCTCTGCACTTCCCCTAAATAAAACAAAATTTAAGAGAAAAAAAAAGGGGGGGGGAAAGAAAGAGAAAAACATACAAACGAAGATGGGCAAAGATTAAAAATCTTGTTATGGAGGCTGTAGTGTGACACAGTGAGTCATGCTATAAATTCTTTTGTCCACATATCTTTACTTGCCAGTGTTCATTGCAAAAAGTCATTGGTCTGGTTCAAGGCCTCTAGTTTCTACTATGCTATTGATGCTGTGCCCTCACTGGGACTCTTCTTGGATATCCTGTTGTTGCCCCAGGTTTGTGGAGATCCTTTAGCTTTGGGTCTATGGGTCAAGTCCCTTTCTGTGCTCCAGCAGATCATAGGTGGGGTGGATGTTAGGGCAGGCCACGTCATAACCCTGGTTCTGGGCCTGGACAGCTGAGGAGTTGTTCTGCCCAACAGTTCTCCCTTGTTCTCACTACTAGGATGAACTCTCCAGCAGTGCCCTGGCTAATTAACTTCTTGCAGCTATGAGCAAACAGTGGGACCAGTTTTCCTGCTTTCCTGCCCTCAGGGTTGGCTCTCTCACACCTACACCATCAGGGCCTGCTTTACTGTGTCACCCAGGCAAAGCACAGGAGCCACTAGCCACTATCCAGAGTGCTGCAGCTGGTGAGGGGCAGGACGGCCCTCCTGTTCTTATGACCCCAGGGCCAGCTCCTCTACCTATCTCAGGTGTTGATAGGCTGGCGCGTGTGTGTGTGTGTGTGTGTGTGTGTGTGTGTGTGTGTGTGTGTGTGTGAGAGAGAGAGAGAGAGAGAGAGAGAGAGAGAGAGAGATGGGGATGGTGTGGGAGGGTATCCTTCCTCTGCCTATGCCTCAACATGTCAGAGGAGTAATGGAGACAGTTCTTCCTGGTTCACAACTTCGGGACTGGGTCTCCCTCACCTCCAACCACTGTGCCAGCTCTGCTGTGCTGCCTAGGTGAGAGGCAGGGCCTGCTTTCCAAGTGCTGCAGCTGGTAAGGGGTGGTGGTGGTCAGCTATCTCATCCATTGCAGGTGTTAAGAGGAGAGGAGTAAGAGGGGGCATCTCTCCCTTATCCAAATCGTTCCATGACTTAGAAGTAATGGGGACAGCTTGTAACTTTAGGGCTGATTCACATATACCTCCCCCAGCAGGATGGCCTCTATTGTGTTACCCAGGTGAGATGCAGGGCCTGCTCTCCCAAGCGTTGCTGCTGGTGGGGGTGAGGGACAGGCATTGATGGGTGCGGAAATGTAGGAATATTTTTTAAACTAACAAAATTAGAATAACTTTTCTCTCTGCATTTGCAGAGCCTAAAATAATAATTTATGAACAATAATTTATTTAAATAATATTTATAACATGCTAGCTTCTTAATCATTTTTGTCTTGGAAGGGGACAAGACCTTTTTTTAATCTAAGAATCATGTCATGTATGGTGCTATTTTTTTTCTTTCTTTAGTAATACTTGAATAGTTCATTGAGACTTTTATATGGTGACTTTTTAAAATAACAATATTTGCATCATTTCCCACTTCTTCCTTCCAACCCCTCCCATCTGTTCACCCTCAACTCCTCTCATTTATTCCCTTGCTTCCTTTCCAATTCATGGCCTCTTCTTTATTATTATTTTACACACACACACACACACACGCACACACACACACACACACACAAATACATGAATACCACTTGCACAATACATTCAGTATTACTATATGCATATAATTTCATGGCTTATTAATTGATATTGAATAAGCAATCTATGGGGAAGACTATTTCTCCTGGTATCTGTGTTTGTTAGTTGCCTATACTTCCTTGTCTTAGAGGTAGGGCACCATGAAGTTTTCTCATTCCATGCTTATATAACTATTAGTAGTTTACTTTTTCAGGTCTTGTTAAGGCAGTCATATTGTTGAAGTATTATGTGTGAAGCTTTCCTGCCATTTCTAGGAGCTAAATCTCACAGCACTTTCCCTAGTGCTGTGTGCCTTACAGTCTTTCTACCCTCTTCCACTATGTTCTCTGACCATTAGGTGAAGGAGTTTTATTGTAGGTGTATTCACTGGAACCGGTCTTCCCAAGATCAGTTGTTTGATGAATTTTTGACTTTCTGTAGTTTTCTGTAATAGTCTCTATCTGTTGCAAAGAAGAGCTTCTTGGATAAGAGGTAAGTGCTATACTCACCTGTGGGTAAAAAGATAAGTATTTACAATGCAGTTAGAAATTATGTCGGTTTAGTAAAGTGGCAGTAACAAGATCCATGACGTCAATAGGCACAGGAAGTGAGTACGATTCCAGTACCACTGAGTCATGTTTAAATAATTAGTACTCCCATCTAACTATTATCTTTAGGTTGCAAATTAATCTAATTCCTTCTGACATTTGTTTAGTGCCAGTACTATAGTTGCTTCGATGTACTGATGAAGATACAGGTATACTAATGTTCTATTACTAAACTAGACACAATACATATTACTTGCCCTGTGTGATGCCACTTATAAATTATGGTATTAGGGTTAACTGAGTAAGGTTGATTCTAGAGAGTTTCTTAAAAAGAAGAGATGGGGATGATTTACCTTTCTGAATGAGTAGATATGACACAGGTGACTATATTCTTGTTTGTTTATAAAAAAACAGATTAAAAAAACAAATAGAACCTAAAACAATACTCAAAAACCATTAGCAGTTGAAAGCCATGGATTCTCCTGTCCCTTAGGTCTCTTCAGCATTTTAGGATGGATGCTACAGTTTCCTCTTTGATCAACTCACAGGAAAATAGCAAATAAAAAGACAGTCAAGACCTGTTAACAGTTTTTTCAAAGATCAGTTCTGTTATAGACTTTTTATGCACCTTTATCTCACATCTTCTCCAAATCAATATTTAAATGCACATTTTATAGATGGTAAGAAGTCTTAATATTTTTCTTTGGGTGATATCATTCCCCCCCCCAATATCTTGAAATTCCTCCAGGAAGCACAGTAAGAATAGCAGAGTCTCAGTATATCAGTGAAAAGAAATTAATGTATTGAAACTGACTCTGCCAGAACTTCTAAGATATTTTACATGATAATCTGATTTAATTCTTGTTCTTGATAACTTCATTAACATACTGAAAAAGTAAGGCTCATAAGGATCTCACACAGCTAGTACATACAACTAGAACCAAATCCATGCACCCTAACTCACAATTTGTGGGCTCAGCTGATAAAGCACACTGCTTCATTCTAATTGTTTTTTTTCTCCTCTTTTGTTCCACTTGTCTGTGTGTGTGCCCTTGTTCTTCCTGCCAGCTCTGAAACAGTTAACGCAGCATTATCACACCTCCTACCTATGAATGTGGGAGAAAAATCTTAGGAGAGAACCTGCATTAGTTTTATCGATCTGCTTTTGCAGAATTGAAAACAAAAAGCCATCTTGAAGCACATCAATAGAATTATGGTTTCCCCTCTGAGAATTTACTGCATTGGCGTTTGGATTTGTTCTCATCTAAAGAAGGAGCACACACAAAAAAATTATTAGGTGCTAAAATAGGCTGGCTCTGACGAATTGCTGACAGCTCCACATATCTTTCTAGTGTTTTGTTTTCCTCCACTCATGCTATCATTACTCACTCTGTATTAACAAATTATAGAGGCTTCTTTTATTTGTTTGTTTATTTATTTATTTTCTCAATGATAGAAGCAATAGAACATGAAAACCCAATGCAACTTACAATTCATTAAGTTAAGCTCTGAGATTGGTGCATATTTCAGAATAAAGCCTTTCCTTCCTTTTTTGTTTTTTCCTCTTTTAAATTTATCCCTGTTCATGAAATTATGGGCTATAGTTTATTACCTATCCTATCTCTGCACTCCTGACAATAAAACCAAAATGATAAAATATTACTGTTTACAGGGAAGCATTCTGAGATGTAAAACTACATCCACCAACAAAGAATATATTACATATATACACATATATATGTGTGTGTATGTATAACATGTATGTATAAATATATATTACATATACACATACACACAAACATAAGAAAGTCATAGCATCATGTTAAGATGCTGTATGTCAAATATCTGCAAAGTTAATTTCATTTGTTTTATTCTGAGAGAAAATTGTTTTAGAAAAGTGTCCATTTAAATTCTCCCATGTGAATTAAATCCGTACTCACATATATCTTTCTCTGATGACTTGTCTAAGAAATGTCCCTATATCAAAAAGAAAACAATACAAGTTAAATCAAAGTTGTACTGTAGATGTTTTTCCCTGCCATCATCTGGTCTTCGGAGGGCATTTTCCTCTGTGGCAAGACATTGTGTGTAGACATGCTTCAGAGGCTGAAGATCGTGAGAAGCAATAGTGTGTTTCCTCCTTCCTCCTTTCTCTACTTCTCTCTGCCTTTGATGTTTTTTTGTCCTAGTGAAATTCTGAAGATAGAATTTCCATTTGTAGAAGAATGTCAGGCTGAGACACAGGAAGGTCACTAACCAAGTAGCCAAAGCATTCAACCTAAATGATACAGGCATTCCTACTTTATGAGACTTGCTATGTCCGCTAGAAGTTATGGGAGCATCATCACTATCACTGATGAGACTGGGATATAGAGGATGATTTCTAAAGGATGATTTTCTCTTTGAAATGTATTTATCTTTTGATTCTATCAGCCCTTTCATTTTGAGAGTTTGAGTAGAATTGGGCTTCATTCACTGCTTACCTGAGCTTAACTCAAAAGGGTATTTCAAATAGCCAGTAAGCAGTTGTGAGAAGAGGCCATGAAATACTAAATCCTCCCAAGTTGGCCTTTCTTGTGGAGCAGTGATCTGATGTCACTGGAGCAGAGTAACACAGTTGATGCTGCCTGCATATTAAAATGGGTAATAAACAACATGAGTTTAATTTTATTAAATTACCTTTTCATTTTAACAAACACCATCTGTTTGGACTTGGCAAGCCTCCTGCAGGAAAGGGGAGGGGTGGACATCCTGAAATAGAAACGAAAGTAAAACTTTTTACTTCATAATTGACACTGATAATTTATTGGGGTTACATTGTGTTGCTTCAAAAATATAGCTTGTAAGTTTTCAGAATTCTTTTTTTTTATTTTGCAAAAGATTGTTCAGACTTTTAGACTTACTTGAAATAGCTGCTGCATGTCCAGTGTCTTTTCCCTCCTTCACATCAAAGATAAAGATAACTTCCACTGACACTCAACACTTCTCTTTCACAGAGTGCCCAATGCACCATAGGATCTTTCGATTTTAAAACCATGGCATAGTGAAAACATGCTAGCAAATAACGTATTTGCTGTTGACAAATCCTGTATTAATCTCACTTTATTCCAATCCCCAGTCCAGCAAAAAAAATATGGTCTTTCCTGGGTCCCGTGAGGATAGAACTCTTTGTAACCTGGAGTGTGGGAGTTGGATTTAAAAGTCATGAATTATCTTACAGCCATGAGCCATGATACAGATTTTATACTTCACCAAGGCTCAGATAATGAATATGATGGACAATGATTGTGTGAGATGTCCTCAAGTAGAAGTTTAGGGAGCAGCTACTTGGTGGAAATAGTCCAACCATGTAGAAATATTTTAAATCAGAGTCTTGAATGATGGCTATTGATTAAAATGCCTATTAATGGAAAACTCTAGCTGAACAAGATTTGAGTGAGTTGACTTCTTTTTGCATCATCTATTGTCAGTGATGATCAGATATTTATTCTGAAAGAAATGAACCTGAAACTAGCAATTTAAGAGTAAGGACAGGATGGTTCAGATGAAAGGTCAATGACATGTGTCTATGCATATAGTAGAAAATCTGGTTAGATGGATCTGTTTTCAACTTTGTAAACAGTATGAATTGTTGATGGCTCTTCCTAAGGTGCCCTTAACCACAAAGTTACCTCTTCCAAGATTCAAATCTATTGGCATGGAAAGTCCCTGTGCTTTAGTTGAAAATATCTGACTGAAGCAGTATGGTCCAGTCTTGGAAGAATGAGCCTGAACCTATCTTAGGCAGCAAAACAGATCTTATTGGTACAGGAAAAGGGAAGTTAAGAGGTCCATCTTCACATGTGTGTGCTTGCTGATTTCTAATCACCTTTGTCTGAATGAAAATCATGTCAATATTGGATGTTAAATGTTCCAAAGTTGGACAGTTGATGGCAGGTCTTGGGTTCCAAAGGTATAAAAGAGACTTAGAACAAATTTTTGTGGAGACACATCGAACTTCTCCAGTTCCTTCATTCTTAACGTCTATAACAACCCATAAACTAATCATTCCTAGCTCCTCTTCCTATTCCTTCCTCAGCGAGTAACAGAGTCCTGAAACAATGCCTGAAATAGCTGTAAAATGGCTTATATAGATACATCCTCAGCTTCAAGGACAAAGGTATATTAATTAATGGGAGTATATTTCAAAGTTCACTTTTATAGTTTGCCATTTCAATACAGTCTTGGCCAAAGTTCAAAGAGATGATGATCTTTATTATTTAACTCCAATAAAATTCCCATAAAGTGCTACTGATACAAAGAAAAAAAATTACTTGGATTTCTTTTTAACTCAGTGCGTTTGAAAGACACAGAGTACCCTTTTTTCTTTCTTCCTTGAGGTATTTCCTTTCCTTCCTTCTCCCCTTACCTTTAGCTTCTACTCTCGGCACATCTTCCCCAGCCATCCCATTTCCCTTCTATGATCTTCCTTTGTTCATATATGCCATTGAGACATTACTTACTAAGGAAGTAGAGAACTGTTCCATTTTGTCTTTCACTTTAGACAAAGTCTTGCTATGTAACTTAGGTTGATCTCAACTTCACAGTGTAGCTGATACGCTCCTAGACTCACAATTTTCCTACATTACATTCTACACTTAGAGATGTGTCTCACCATAATAGACTATAAAACAATGTGTTTTAAAATGGTGAATATGTGACCTGGGCAATAGAAAGTCACAAAAGTTGAACAGTCACTTGAATACAGGGTACAATGCATGTTCAAAGGGAAGATTACCTCCATTTCCTATTGAAGGTAGAGATGTGATGAATGAGCAGAGTCTTAGTGTGAAGAGTAAGATTGGGACACACGGGAGTGTCAGGATGAAGGAAGTACAAATGTCCACATGGGAATAGGGCTGCCATTTATTAGTACACTAGCTCTGTTTCTTCGGTTCAGATAAAAGTTAAGTGCAGCTCAGATCAATAAGTGTCAAATACCACAATGAATAAATTGAGCTTTACTCATTAAGTAATACCATTTTTGTATTTTTGAGGTTAATATGGTAATAATGGGTATGGTGGCTCACAGTAACTGCTGTAAATACTTTTAATAGCTTAAAAAGATCATTTTATTCTACTTATGACTATAATATATTGGATTTCATGGGAAGACAACTTTTTGATAAAAATTAATATGCAGACATTTACTAGTGAATGGTTGTAGAGTGTTTTTTTTTAATCAAAATATTACAGAAGAACTTACCTACCATGATGTGAAGATCGTATGATCAGACATGGGCTATGTTTCAGTGTTTTAAAATGTTCTCCACTGAACCACACTTATGAATATGGAAGACAAGCTGCTAGAGGCCCAGGTTATTTGAATCTTTCTAGATTTTTTTTTTGCTAAGGTAAAAAGGAGCAAAGCCTTTTGTAAACTTTCTTACCACATTTAAATTATTATTGCATATTACTTATGTTGATTTAACTATTCTAGAAATGCTATAGATCTAACATTTCTGTTGTTTATCAGATGAGTTATGTTACGATTGGGTGAGTTGAGCAGGCAGTTTCAGCATACTCATATACTGCAGACGTAGCAGTTGCTATAATTACCATAATGTGATGTCATATTTAAGATCTTCCTAAGTAATAGGTATTATGATAATTTATGTTATATAAACTATTAATTTACCTTCCAATCTATACTTAAAGATACATTATCAAGTTTTACCTATGATTGCAATATTATTTTAATGCTACATAAGTTGTTGGCCCAGAGACATTTGTTCCTTCCACTTAGAGGAAGTTGTGATGCAAGTCCAGGTTGGCTGAACACATAAGCATCCATCTCCTTATCTACTTCATGGACTAGATCTTCATTTCTGAACTTGAGCAGAAAGTACACAGTAGAGAAATAGTGTGAAAAAGTATTTAATATGGTAGTTTATTCTCTTGAATGGAAAAAAAGTATTGGGTATGCTGAAATATCTTTTCAAATTTTTATGTACTGACTAAAATTTGGTGAGAAAATTTTGGTTTAGCTTCTCCACAGTCAGAAGAAAGTTATATTGAATTCTAGTAAATGCTATATGCATTTCAATGAGGAATTCAAACATGCAGAGGCTGCAGGAAATAAATATTTTTTTCATGAAGTAAATGGTTACTTTCCTTGCCTATTGCTAAGGACTAATACCACAGTAACTAAAATGCTGGAAAATATTGTAGGTCTTGTATTGTGACGGGCTTCACAGATTGGTTTTATATGTAGGTTTAGCACTCAGCAGCTGCCAAGAGCCACCAGTTCAATAATCCGTTCAGAAGAAAATGAAGTTTGAAAAGAGAACAGCAGGGCCACACTGTGAAAAGAAGAGGAGAGAGATGCAAAAGTTGGGCTGGCCCCAGCTCTTAGTCTGTGTGCTTACTTTTCCTAAGAAAAAAAGACAAGAGTAAAGTTTACTGTAGAAACTAAAAGTGTGAAGTAGAGGCCAGATGCTCTTTAAAATACTTCAATGAGAAATGAAAATACAGAGAACTCACTGAATTCATCCTCTCTGAGTATGAAAAAACATTTAGTGCCAATGTTGAGAATCAGTGATGTACATGCATATGTGGACTAACAGGATTCTACAACCCTCAACCTAGCCCTTTTTAGCAATGGACTGAGTATGTGGGAGGGGAGCAGGAGGTGACTGAGGCAATCTTTGGGGACAATTTTTGTACTTTCTTCTTGTGTTCAGCTGTTACAAAGCTATGCTGGCTTGATGTTCAGTAATTAAGAAGTAAAAAATTCCAAAATTTATCTGATCTTAGCATTGAGATAATGTGGTTTCTATAGTATGAATCATTAAGCAACACCATTTCCATGTAGTTTTAAGCATCCTAATTAGCACAGCAAATCAGGTAACCTTACAATACTAAGACTATTTTCTATGTTATATAATACCAAGAGATAAATACTACAGATTCAAATGCAATAATTTGAAAGTAAGTAGGAAATCGAATGCATAAATATTCATATATGTATTTCTTTATTCTGGAAATCTTTCTCTATATGTTTGCTTTATTTAGTAAACACTCATATAGCTCAATGAAACTGCCCATCATGATGATAGAAAAGTTGTGGTTATACGTTAGAGCTGAGTGCAAGCATACTGGTCAATACAACGGGATGCTGGAGCAGGAACTGATTTCTGTGGCAGGACTGATATTTCACAGTGTAGCAACCTAGTAGTACACCTGATTGGCACTGATAAAGGACTGACAGTGGAGCATCTGGTATGGCTAAGATGCCACCATGCTCTTTAGAATTCCAACAAAGCTTGGCAAAAACATGCCATCTGCATGCAGGTTCAGATGTGTGAGAGATGAATGTAATGTTAAGGTAGAATGCACATCGCAGATTTTTCTACTAGTTATTTCCTCTTTGGATTTAGTTTAGTCAGCTTGCTACCTGTTATTCTAAAACCAGTGCAGAAGACCAGACAATGAGGTAATCAAATATATAAATCAGTGTAATACAACTTAACTGTTGTAAATACTTTGCAGAGAAGGCAAAGTAGATAGATGCAGAGTGGGAAATCAGTGATAGTGACAATAAACAACTCTTAATAGTAACAAGGTGGTGGTGGTAGGATATAAAAAGGGACGCCTTCAGAAAAATAAGCACATTTCTTTTTTGTTAGAATTCTAGATCAAGGCAAAGAAAAAAACAAAAGTACCTCAATGCATTGGATAAATAAATGATAAACACAATAAAGCTATGTTTATC